TTTTTTTTTTTTTTTTTTAAATCTTAGCCATTCTAATTTGGGTTAGGTGGTATCTCATTTTGGTTTTGATCTACATCTCCCTTATGATGAGGGATGATTATTATTCATATGCTTTTTAGTTGGTCATATGTCTTCCTTAAAGAGTTGTTTGTTCAGCTCATTTTCTCATCTTTTAATTGGGCTGGTCACTTTTTTTCCCCTGGGTAAGCTACTTGAGTTCCCCGTGCATTCTTTTTATAGTCCCTTATCTGAGACGTAGTTTACAAAAATATTCTCCCATTCTGAGGGTTCTCAATTCACACTACTGTGTCTTTTGCTGTGCAGAAACTTCTTAATTTGATGTAATCTCATTTGTCTATTTTGGGGATTATTATCTGTGCTGTAAGGGTCTTATTTAAGAAGACATAGCCCACCACAGTGTCTCTCAGTTTTCCCCAGTGTTTTCCACCAGTAATTTTATAGTTTGAGGTCTTAAGTTTAGATCTCTGATCCACTTTGAATTTATTTTTATTAATGGTGAGAGATAGGGGTCTGGGTTTATCTTTCTGCAGGTGGATACCCAGTTTTTCCAGCACCATTTGCTGAAGAGGCTTTCCTTTTCCCAGTGGATTGACGGTCAAATCTACTAATTGACTAAAGGATATAGAAACACAGCATATTGATGTAAATACCAGATATAGTGTGTGTGAAAGAGGAGGGTCTGAGGAAGGACATTTGGGGGAGGGACAGGGAGGCAAAGCATTAATGGCACAAAGAGGTATGGTATTATCTGTTGAAGATATTTTGTAGCTTTATCAACAGTACTAGGGAGAAATATTCACCTGTTGAAATATCCATTTTGTAAGACAAATACTAATGTGATTGAATGTATGGAAGAAAATGAAATGAAAAAAAAATTTTAAATAAAAGGAAAAAAGTTTAAAAATAATCAGTTGGCTGCATGTTTTCATGCTTATTACAGGGATCTCTATTCTGTTCCATTGGTCCATATGTTTGTTTTTGTGGCAATACTATGTTGCTTTTATTATCACAGCTTTGTAATATATTTTGAGGTCAGAAGATTAGATGTCTCCTACTTCACTCTTTTTGTGCCAGAATTTATTTGGCAATATGGTGTTTTTGTTTTGTTTTGTTTTGTTTTGTTTTGTGATTCCAGACAAATTTTGAGTGTCTTTGTAAATCTTTGAGTGGTTAAGGTGCTGGATTCTCCCACATGGCTGACCACAGTTCAAGTCCTGGACCTGGTTATTTGCTTTCTCACTTTCTCTCTCTCTCTCTCTCTCCCACTGTTTCTCTCTCTGGTTAAATTAAAATAAATAAATAAATAAATAAAATAAAATAAAAATAATTATTTTAAAGGTAACATTTGACATTCAATAATAAATTACATTTATGAAAATATTTTATATTTGCTGCCTAATTAAGCCATATAGTAACCAGTTATTGTATGCACATGTGTCCAGTGTGATTCTTCAAGTTGCAAAGTCTGGGACTCAAACTTTACAGTTCGCCATGTAGGATCCAGTGCTTGCCTTAACCACCACAACCACCTGCTGGCACAAAGGCTTCTTTCTTTTTTCTTATAGAAGTATTTATTAATTATTATTAATTATTTTTAAATTTTTATATAGAGCAAAGAGAAAGAGAAAGAAAGAGAAAGGGAAAGTGAGAAAATGAGCCACCAGGTCCAGAGCTCAAATTACATCATGACCATTCCCCATGTGGGGTGATTTCTCAGTTCCCCTCTGAATCTTTCTCTGGCAAGTGCACATGCCTTGCATAACACATCATTATAAAAATAATTATTAATTTAATTTTATTTATTATTAATATTTTATAATGGCAAGATTAGGACAGAGAGAGTGAGAGAAATAAAAAAGAAAGATACCAGGTTCTGGGACTTGAACTGCAGTCAGCCGTGTAGGAGTCCAGTGACCTTATCACTTCACCACAGGCTAGCCCCTTGTAGGAAAATTTTTGAAATGGCATTATATGGTTGGATAGGTTTAGATTCTTGATAGTGGTAGTGGTAGTATAAAGGTATTCATTTTTCCAAGTTTATCCAAATATGTACATTAAATATATACAATTTTTGTATACTATTTATACCTCAATAAAGCTTTTTTAAAGGGAACAAATGTGTTTGTTCTTTATTTTTATTTTGGACTTCTTTCAGTAACTGTGTGATTGCCATATAATAATAAGCAATTTATGCCAAAATATAAATTTAAAACTTTTACATTTTAAACAGATGTT